AATGGTTGAAAAAACATGTTCCTCAAGTGCTGAGAAACCCCTTGCAAGGAGAATCCTTAACTGATAAAAAAAGTCTTCCCAGTTTGGGACTTATTCTGTGCAAAATTCACACTTCTGATGAGTTGTGCAGAAAACAGCAGTATTCTGTAGAGGACGACAGAATTTTATATGCAGAAAGTAATATTTTTGTATGGAAATTTTGGCTAACACATTATTCAATATTTATATGATAATAAGATAGACTCACAATCTTGTAACTTTTGTTATTTATGTTTACAGTCTTTATTTATTTATTTATTTATTTATTCATTTATACCCCATTCTTCTCAGCCTCCGAGGACAGACTCAGAATGGCTTCCAAACAGGCAACAATTCAATGCCAAGCATGATAAAAAATGTTGAGCAATGTCAGTGCATTCCTTTCTATTCACTTCTTCTATGCCCGGCAGTCTCCCTCCTTCTGTTGATATACCTATTACTTTATCCACATCATTAAGGAGAGCCTGACTTCTTTTGAACATTACATTCTCTAAGTGATGGAAGAGAACACTGGATCACTGTTGTTACATTTGGAAGTACAAAATGTTGTGCCCTGTCTTTAAGCAAAAGCCATGGGAGAGCATATGGAATGCAGCAAGGTTACCAAAGGTTGTAGTAAAATACTTCTGTTCAGGAACATCAAACTTCTGTTGAACATTTAGAAATATAGTTAGGCATCCAGAGAAAATGGGGCAGGCAAAATTACTAAGGCAATGAAAGCAGACAATATAATCATTCTTGACATGATTTTTTTTCAATATATCATTTCCTGAAATAGTAGAAATTCAGAAACTGCAGGAAAAATTAATAGGGAAAGGCAAAATTCTTATTTGGGATAACAATACTTTCATTTTGCCTCTCTATAGTTACACCTCTGCAACTGCCGCCCCCTCCTTGCCAAGCCTTTATTGTCCTTGCTTGTCCCTTTAAAGGCTAAAGTTGTTACTCAAAGGAAACAAGGCAGCCATATTCAGTACAAAGAAACAAAACCAAACAACTAGGAAAATAGTACATTTTGGATACCAAATGGCAGTGGTGGTGAACCTTTGGCACATGTGCCAGAAGAAACACTCAGTGCTCTCTCTCCTGGCACATGTGCCATTAGCCCCTCCCTCACTCACTTGCTCATGCACCCCCCCCCCACTTGGCCACTCTCTCGCTACCCACTCATTTGCCCACTTCTCCCCCCTCTTGCCAGCTTGCCTGCCCCTCTACTCACTCACTCACTCACTCACTCACTCACTCACTCCCCTGCCCACTCCCCCCTTATCTGCTCACCTCATAGTTGGTTTTGGATTGTGGTTTAGGCACTTGGTATCTAAAAGCTACCATTGCTATATGGTATTTCCCAACATGTGATTTTTTTTTATTTAATTCATGAAAATCCGCTCAACTGGATTATTAGCATTAGGATTGCAAATGGGGGTGGAAACTGGTTGGGGGTTTCTGGGAGGTGTGAATCCTTAGAGCAACTATTACAAGCTCTGTCTATGAACGATGTCATCTTCCATTTGGCATGTTTCCTCCTGGTGAAACATTTACAGACAGTCAGAGATGGATTCTTGCTTTATGCAGATGTAATACCTCATGATAATATGAACTATAGATTCAAGATAGTATCAAGAAGCTGGAAAGTGGTAATATTGCATCTGAACAACAGACTAAGGTATTTAGAAAAGCCAAAAAGAGTGTCTATGAGAGTTCAAAACCACAAGGAATTTTCTTTCTTTCTCATCATAGAAAAAAAAAACTGGAACAGAAAAGAGGGAAAGACTGTGCCAGTTAGTCCGTCCCATTTATCCAACAGAATCCTGTTCTCTGGCTCTGTTTTTTTTTTCCAGTGAGACTTGCCCAATCCCTAGAAAATCCATGGGGGCAATGGTGCATCAGTTTTTTCCTGTTCTGTATTTGTCTACTGCAAATACAGAACAGGTACTGTTTTCCCTCTTTTCCACTACAATGGTGGCTTTCTATTTAAGAGTCTTATTAAAGAGTTACTGGTCATTCTAGTGTAACGAATTGCTAATTGAATATTGTCTTGATTGTTGAAAGTGTCTCTTTTGTAATTTTTAGTCAAGATGACTTACTCATTTTTACAATGAGCTTAATTGTTTTGGTGTTGTATTGACCTGTGATAACTGTTATGAATGTGTTGTGAATGCACTACTTATAGGAAAGGGATTTACAATCAATCTGACTTCTAAAAACAGCACAGTACTCTAAGAGATTCTAGGTATCAAAATTAAAGAGTCCCCAGCAGATGACTTGTTATTCAAAATCTGCTTTCCTTCGTAAAGTCAGAAAATAACTAAATGTATCTGGAGAAAAACACACTATACTTCCCATAGATGTGACTATTCTTTATCTCTTTATCTTGAGCAACTGATATATGATATTATCTGTCTAAATTAGGTCAGAGTAAATCAATACATTATTTAAGTCTCTTGGTTCCAGTGGAGAGCTACAGCATAGATGAAACTGACCCAGTGCTATTGGGCATAAATGAGAAGGTAGACTCCTTGAAAATCTCTTTTCTCCTTCACTTTTGGAGTGCATAATCCTTACTGCAGACTGCAGGAACAGTTCCCTGCTGGTGAAAGAAAAGCAACTTGAGAATGGCCAAAGGAAGGGGAAAGGCAGCCACGAGAGAAAGGAGGGGTGTCAAATTAATTGCAGTGCTATATGGTATTCCTTTATCTCTGTTTACAGGTATCCTGCTTGGTTATGAGTGGCACTCTGAGGCAGATTTTCTCTTGTGTTCTCCTTCAGACTGAGATCTTCTTTGCAATTAAGGATCTGAAATGGAAAATATTATCCACATCAGTTCTGATGTGGACAATTTCGCATGCTCTCAGTCAAAAACACAGTGTTGTTATTGAAAAAGTGACCCACTCAAATATTAATAACTATACATTTATAACATATCTTTATAGATTTTAGCTGGGTTTTTAGCCCTAGCCCATCTGCAAACATTATTGGGAGGATTAATCTAATCATTTACCAAGCCCAAAACTGGTTTGGCAGGAAACTTCTCAGGCCAGAGGCAATGCCTATCCAAAGAAGACAATGGCCCCACCCCCCTTACAGAGGTTTGCCTCGACAACGTACTTTGAAACTCCTGTGTCTGGATTCAGGTTTATGATTTATTAGTAAATTGAGTGGGGAGAACACACACACAAACTGGGGTGCAACCATAGGCATTTTCCCTGGCACCCAAAGACATTTTATATAAAATATGTAAAACTGGTGTGTGTGTGTGTGTTTGTTAAGGGGTGGGGTTTGAACATCCAGAAAACCAGCCCGATATCCAGCTGAAAGATAATCTCTCAGGGAAGCAAGACCTCTTTAGAGATGTAATTAAGACCAGGTTCCAAGAATGAAACCAGTATTGTGTTATACGTTTCATATTTGATGTGTATATATTAATTATATTTTTCTCCTGGGTGGATCTTCCGAATGGCTTCAGCTTCAAATAGACAAATAGCAGCTCTCAATTTTTCCCACCACAGGGGAGATTCCATCCACCTCTGACACCACAGGGAGTCCCCAGAATGACAGCTCAGATCCCAGCTCAACCATTTTGGATCCAATCTGTGAGAGAGGTGGTCTTCTGACTTGCTTCCAAGAATGAAACCAGTATTCTGTTTTATGTTTCATATTTGGTGTGTATATATTATATTAACATAATATAATGCTTTGCACTACATTATATGTTATGTCAGTTCTTTGGTGATTACACTGTTCTGACATCCATCTGCTTCTGTCTTCAAACTCAGCCATGCTTTCCTGGCTTTCAAAGTACCATGGAATACCGGGTGATTAACTTAGACTTCCCACTTGTGGCAGATAGCTGATTTCAGTAACGGTGTCTCTATCACAAGAGTGATTGATGGCACTTTAGCACCTTTCCTTCTTCCTCTTCCTTAGTGAATCTCTTTTCATCTTTCTTGGTGCTGGCTGCAACAGCTAGGATGGACAAGGTGTATTCCCTGGACCACATACCAAGGTCGTTTTTGTGGACTTTTGAACTCCAAACTGGGGCTGGAAGAGCTCTGATTCTGATCATATATGGTATTATATAAGGAGCAGTAGTTTGCAATTAAGAAAACCAGTACCAAGGCATAAAAAATAAAAGTGAAGTAGATCAAAAATTATAATTTCTCTCTTTTCAGTTTGGGTTCAGCTATAGCCCTCAGAGTTTTGCAGAGACCAACAATTAAACTTTTGAATTTAGAGTGTTGCAGTGCATTACTTCTCTTAATCTACTCACTAGATTGATGCAGTCTAGAATCGAATTGGGTTTGTGTAAGTGCCATATTACACTGATGACATGTTCAGCTTGTGGTCTGTTAAGAGTCCTAGATTAACAGCAGTGCATGTCAAAGGAATCTAGGAGTCTTAGTAGACCACAAACCATTTTATCAAAATCTTTTCCTTTATTCTACTTCTGAGCAAAAGAGGAATGAAATTGACTCACTAAAACTCTTTTTACAACACTGTGGATTTTATTTGGTTCCCATGGTAGAGATCAATAGGAAATCTATTTTTGTGTTCAGCTGTCTTTCTTCTATCTCATTTTTTACATCTTGGCACATGGTTTTAATATTGCTATTTTGTTTTCAGAAAGGGGCTTTATATACATCTCCTTCATAAACCTGCTAAAAAGTCATTTTGTAGCTTATTTGTAAAATGCTCTCCAGGTTTATTTCTCTTACCTCTTGCCATCCATGTTCATGGTCTTAATTGTCTCCAAGTTATGTTTATCCTTTTCTCTGCCTAGCATTACATCTCATGTCATGCACAGAGTGAGATTGTATTCAGGAAGCTGATATGCTATCATGCATATCCGTATTTCTGGCACTAGGCATACATGAACTGATCCTTACTCTCAATCAAATGTATTTTGGAGCTGAAGTATAGAAAAAATGTACTAGACAATGTCAAAAATGAGGTGGCAGAAAGTGCTTGTTTTGGCAGCACATATACTAAAATTGGAACGATACAGAGAAGATTAGCATGGCCCCTGCGCAAGGATGACTTCACAAATGCGGTAAGGGCGATTTATAAAGAACAGGAAGCTAATATATGTATAAATGGACAAACAGCCGAAAAAATACAAATCCAAAAAGGAACACGCCAAGGGTGCCCACTGTCCCCACTGATCTTCATAATGACATTGGAAATTCTGCTCAACAACATCAGAAATGACAAAGAACTCAGAGGAATCAGAATCCAGAAACATTCCTACAAAATAAGAGCGTTCGCCGATGATGTTATCTGCGTTATTGAAGAGCCATTGGAGACCATACAAAATTGGATCAAAAAGATAGAAGAATTTGGAACATTAGCGGGCTTTAAATTGAACAAAAGCAAAACAAAAATACTACCAAAAAATATAACAAAAGAGAGACAAAACAAGTTGGAGGAGGAAAGCGGTATCCAAGTAGTGAAGAAGATAAAATATTTGGGGATAACATTAGCAGAAAAAAATCTGCATTTGATGAAAAACAACTACGAAACAAAATGGTGCGAGATAAACAAAGAAATATCTAAATGGAAGAATTTAAAATTATCATTATTAGGAAGAATTTCCGCCATCAAAATGGTAGTACTGCCCAAATTCCTCTTCCTTTTCCAAACTATCCCCATAATAAGAAACCTCCAAACAATCAAGAAATTGAACATAGAAATTAAAAAATTCATATGGGCAGGGAAAAACCCAGAATCAAATACGAACACCTGATTGATAGGAAAGAAAAAGGAGGGCTGGGACTACCGGACCTGCAACTTTACCACGATGCTTGTGGCCTACTGTGGGTAAAAGAATGGTCTAATATAAGTAAAACAAAAGATCTGATGTTAGAAGGCCATGACCTGCGGTCCGGTTGGCAGGCATACATGTGGTATGCAAAAAGATTGATTGAAAAAAAAATTGGCAATCATTTTATTCGGTCCTCCCTGATTAAAATATGGGAAAAGTATAAAATGAAATTTTATTCAAAAACTCCCTTCTGGGTGTCACCGCTCGAAGCAACACAAAGGAGGGAACTAGGCTGGGAGAAATGGCCTCACTACAAGGATATTCTAATGAAAAGCAGAGAAGAATATAAAATCAAAACCCTAGAAGAAATAAGACTAACATACGGTGAGATTACATGGTTCCAACATAGACAATTAATAGAAGCCTACAACAAGGACAAGAAAGTGGGCTTTGAGCAAGGAGAAAAACAATGGGATAAGATYATGTCCACAGAGAGAAAAGGGATCACCAAAATTTACAGGATACTATTGGATTGGAAGACGGAGAAACATCAAAGCAAAAACTGTCTTGCGAAATGGACAAGAAATATAGGACAYACAGTAAGAACAAGAGATTGGGAAGAGATCTGGAACAAARAGTTAAAATGGATAAATTCATACGATCTGCRAGAAAATTGGCTCAAGATGATGTACYGCTGRTACATAACACCCAGCAAATTAACAAAATGGTATAAAAATGTTCCTGGACTATGCTGGAAGTGTCAGAAAAAGAAGGGGACTTTCTTCCACTCCTGGTGGGCCTGTGATAAAATTAAAAGATTTTGGAAGGAGATACAYGAAATATCAAACAATATACTGAACATAAAAAAAGAGATGAAGGCGGAATATTTCCTCCTGGGAATCTTCGACTTTGAAATAGAGGAAAATAAGGACAGASTCCTCTTTCACATGATGACAGCGGCAAGGATAGTGGTGGCCAAAAAATGGAAGAAGAGTGAAATCCCAACGACGGACGAATGGACATGCAAATTACTAGATATAACGAATATGGACTGTTTAACAGAACATCTGAAAAGTACGCAAACAAGGGCGAAAAGTAAAGTTGACTGGTCCCCAGTCAAAATTATTTTAATATCAGTTAAGAAGAAAAAAGAAGAAGCTCGCGAAGGAAACCTTGCAAGCACCTATATTAACCTGCACATCGGGCTCTAATCAATAGACTTATATCACAAACTCAGCCTACCCCTAACCTCCACTCCCTGCATACCTCTCCCTATCCATCCCCACTATCCAGCTACCCCCCTCCTACCCGCCCTCGCCTTCACACCCCTGCCCCGTCACCCCCACCCCCACTCAAATACTTTTATTTTATGATACGTCGATGATTGACACTCTCTCGATGTCCCCCTTTCAAAATCTTCAATAAAAAAACAAATTAAAAAAAATGAGGTGGCAGAAAGACAGCTAAACAAAAAAGAAAAAAGAAAAAAGAGATGCAGTTGCTACAGTGTTTGCTTTCCTTTCCCCTTATTTTTCCCTTTACTTTTTATATCATATCTAGGTACACCTGTGGAGAAACAATTGTGTTATCTTTTAAAACTTTAATATCTGTACACCTACTACAGTTTTCTCATACAAAGTAGGTAAATCACATTTGCATCAGGGTAAAAGCACCTTCAGTTATTATTGTTATTATTATTAGTGTCCCGCTTTTATCACTTTTTTTGACATGCAAACTGGCTTACAACATTAAAAAGCAGTGCAATTAAAAACCCAAGAACATTCAGACATTAAAGTAGCATTAAACAACCAGTCAGTTAAAATGCTTTAAAACATTTAAAAAACCTAAAACTATCAAATAATCAAATACTACGCAGTATCCCCATGTCTTAAGAACTCTCCTCTTCTCTCTCCCTCTTTCATTCACTTACGCCCACATTCACACATATACCTGGAAATACAAGAGGAAAAGCCAAAAAAGTCTTACAGTTTTTAAAAAGCATTTATCAACTCTCTGCCTCTTTCTTACTGTTTCTTCCCTCAGACATCCTAATTGCTGGCATGGGGATTGATCAGACAGATATAATAGTTGTTACCTTTTTTTCTGCCACTGATTAGTTACTTCTGAGAACCATGGTCTACCTTGATCAAGAAAAAAAAAGGGTGGGGGGAGACCTATTAAAAGGTAAGACTTTTTTGTTCCTATTTCGGTGGGGGGGATGGGACGTGTGTGTGTGTGTGCCCAGCTAGAAAATGGGGTGAGGATAATGACTTGGAGGAGTTAATTGGTGGACAACTTCTCTGTGCTGTAAGGTTTTAGCACAAATGGTCACTGATTCTAGAATGGTTCTGAAAGTGCACAAGAAAAGAAAGTCGTCCCGATGTTTTTAAAAGCAGCACTATTATTACTTCACTGCATGATAACTGCAGCAGGGATGCTATACACACAAAAGTTTTTATAGAAATCTTCATAATTTAATCTGGAAAAGTTTAGAAACTTGTTAGAAAAGTGTAATGATAGGAACAAGAAGAATAATATAAACAATTTTACCACAATTTACATGTGAATAGTTATTTCAAAAACGTTTAAATGCCTAAATAAATACCTCATTCTCATTCTCTTGCTTACCTTCTGTCTTACTTAAATCTGATCTCTTAACACTCTCTGGACCTTTTTAGCTTCAAGGCACATAAAAACAAAGCAGTGTTGCTTTAATATCAATAATTTTGTGTCTGGTAACACAGATGATTTAGTGATGGAAGTACCTTTTGAACTTTGTTTTTTCAGACTAACCCAGAAAAGAACCGCTGCCTATTCCCCTTAGAATGTCATCCTACAGCAGCTGAATGTTGCAATGAAATTGCCTCTTTTGTATCTCTCTTTCCCCTTATCTAATGGTCAAAACAAGCTCCAGTAATGCTTGTGTCAATCAAGATTCTAAAAGCTGGGATTTAAAAAGAAAAACAATGTGAAGAGGGAAGTAAATATTATTTGAACAATAAAGATTTCTTTTTCTGAAGGAGATCTTCCTCATGTCAGTACGGGAATGTTTTTCTTACCTATTGCCCTCCAGAGATATATATTTTTTGGATTTTAAATGCAAGGAGGATTTGTTTTGTTTTGATTTGATTGGCACACCAGTGCCTCCGAGCTGCTCTGGGTTTCTGTGTGCTCTGAAAAGCCGAGAGAAGCCAACTGAATCAGCCTATAACCTTAAGCTGCTTTGGGACGGGCTCTCAATGAGCAGGAGTATTCATTGGAATAACTTTCCAAGCATTGCAATAATAATCTCACTGAGCCTGGTTGTCTGCTTCTGATGACTACATGGTTCACCAAGGCTCCAAGGTTTTGGAATAAGGGTAGGAGAAATAGAATCATCTCCAAATATGACTCTTTGAGGTGAAAGAACGGCTTTCATTTTCCCTCAACGGTACAGTTCTTCAAATATATTTTTCTTTAAAAAGCTATTTCATCTCCAACCCAGTCAGTTATAAAAGAGCAATACAAGAACCAACCTTTCACCCAGACATTTCAAATACAGCCAAATTCACTTCTATATTTTCTTTGCTTGAGATCAAATTCATTGAAAGTAGATGCCACACTCTGTTATACATTTGTATTACCTTCCCAACACCTTTTAAATTGGCTTTCCGTTCTTAAAAAACAAAATAAAATAAAAACAAGACTGGACAGAATTGGTCACCAGGGCAACCCACACAGTTTGCCTTGTGTTTTCAGTGCAGGTTATTGCAGATGCTCTGGACTCATGGAAAGCCCCCTCTGATAGAGGAGAGTGCACTTGAGATGGGGAAGACAGCAAATAACAAAGGTTCCTTACCACTATCTCCTCCATTACTTCTAGTAACATTTCCAGTTGCAGAAAGCACCAGTAAATTTGGAGTGGGCAGACGAAATATTAGCTAGAGGTTCACATTATATATGTGTGTATATGTGTGAGACAGCAAGTGACAGGAAAAGAGACTGAGGAAAAGTTACAATTCTGGACTACAGCTCCCAGCCAGTAGGCCAAGGAATAACTATAATGAACTCTTATGTGTGAATATGTGTGAGATAAGGGATGCTGCATGGTTGTGGTTTCCAGTTGCTACCCAACACTCAATGTGGCCAAACCCATTGATAGTACACAGCCTTCAACACTCTCGCTGCTATCAGTTATAGCCTTTGGGCAATAATATTGTTGTGAAACATTGTTGCGAAAAACCAAGATTTATTTAAAGTAGTGATCTTAGCAGGAATGGCAGGTAGTCGTGGTGGTGCAATGGATTAAAGCAATTCTAATCCAT